ACGACTTGATTTAGGAATGCTCCTCTGAAAGGTATGCCCCTTGAGTGAACAGTGCTTTGAAATTCGATCCATGTTGATTGAACCTCGGAATGATCACCCCTTGTCAATAGTATCTTCGTATGATATGCCCCTATGATCGTTATCCTTTTCCCCTGTTTATAGGGGTCCTCTTAGATGTTTTGCCCCTATTTAGAAGCTTCTTGGAAATGTTGCCATTGATCAGACCTTTTTGAAATCTCCTTGATGCTAAGTATTGATTTGTATATAAAATTGTTAATTTTGAAAAAGTAATTCCGTTTGATGCACATGCAAGTTCTTGAAATTGAAATTGATTATTTGAAAAGAAGTGGAAGATTAGAATATGAATATTTGAAGAAGCAAAGATGACTAATAATTTTAACAAACATAGGAGTTAATTTAACACAAATCTTGTTGGGTATGCTTTCATAGTGAACCTAGCCTCAATCAGGACTTTTGAAGGTTATAACATGGCCGTGGTTCGTAGTTTAGGAAACAAAAGATATACTCAAAATGTATTTAGCCCACCCCATTCTCCTTGATGTTCTCCAATCCTAAATTCAATTAATGCAACAAATGTGTTTAATCCCCAAAAGCAGTTTCATAGTCGCACGGATCATGAGAAGCATAGATAAAGATCCAAGCACCTATGAAAAGTATTGATAAGATCTCAGCATTGATAAGATTCAAGCGAGGATAAGATCCAAGCATTGATGAGAAGCCTTGATGATTCTTGAGGTGGCAGTCACAAGATTGTTTTCTAATTTATTATTTTCAATCCCTTATTTTTTCATGGACCGGTTTTTTTGAATTTATTTTGAATTTGATCCATTGGGATGCCCTAAATTTTGCCCAGGTCAAGTTTTTTTTTTACTTAGCGGGATTTCACCTTTTTTTTAATTTGTTTTTCGCTTTTGGTTTTGAAAATTTGTGAATTCCATGCTGATTGTTGTAAGCTCCGTCTTCATTGTTTCTTTGATCTTGATTAATGTGTTGAGGAAGAAAGATGTCGTGGCCTTTTGTTTTTTATTGATTCCTCAATCTTGGATGATGAATGCGGGGAAGATGATGTGCTAGAATCTTTGCTTAGATCGTTCTCTCAATGATGTATCGAAGAAAGAGATATGCTTGAACCTTTGCTTAGATCGTTCTCTCGATGATGTATCGAGGAAAGAGATATGCTTGAACCTTTACTTAGATTGTTTCGATTCTCCTGGGTTTGAATGCATTATTGAATTAATTGAAATCTACCCTACCCCTGGTTAAGATTAAGGGTTTTTTTTAGAATAGAAAGAACTCTGACTTCTGGCTCGAGGGGGTTAACTACGGATTAACTCCTTATATCTCCACTGTTTAGGAATTGAAACAATGCCTTGCTTCGTCAGCTAAGCCTTACTATTAAAAATCATACATCAACAAAATTTGATTATTTTGTATTTTCATCATTCTCCACCAGAGTTTGTTAATTTGAAAAAGGAAAAGAAGAGCGAGAATGAAAAGTTGTTGATTATTCGTGGAATGAATTGATTTCAAAAACATGCATGCTTATTTTTTAGAATTACGTGTCCAAAGAGTACAAAGTTTATAACAAATAAAACTTAGCAAGAAATAAATTACAGTTTGAAATGATAAAGGCCTAATGATCTAGAGATAAGCCTTCTCGTTGATCTATTGACTTCAGGAGATGCTTCATAGGTTTTGGACTTGTCAGAGCATGTGGGTGACCCTTGAATTTTCTTGGGCATACCAAATCCATTGATAGGGCAGTTTCTCTTGATGTAAAGGAATCATCAATGGTAGTGGAATTTCAGGTGATGTGTAGGCCTGTAGTTGTCATGGTGAATGAATGTCTTCTCTCACAAATAAGATTTGTATGACTAAGCTCCTTTGAATCTCCAAGATTTGACCTTTCCTTCACTAATCTAAGATTTTCTTGAAAAGCTTAGAATTTTCTCTTGAGCATTGGGAAATTTGTTAGCTGGATCACAGTTGGATAAGGGTGGAAGTGTAAATGATTTTGTGAAAATGGACGTAAATGTATGAAAATGCTTGGGTATGAAAAAATGTTTCATGTATATGCAATGTGACATAGATATAGTATGATGGTAGATGTAGGGGGTACTTTATACAAGTTTGATGATGATATCCTACTCTGACTCAGAAATTGAGACAGGCAGAGACTCCTTACGGACGAAGATGATAATATGCATAGATTTGATGATTCCCTACACTGTCTTAGAGATTGAGACAGGTAGGAATACCTAACGGATTACGGCCAATGAAAGACGAAGAGGAGTCCCTATAGGATATGGATGATGATATAGACGAAAGCCCTACGGGCTAGAGATAGCAGTGGATGAAGGGGTAACCCTTGTGGGTTTGCAGATTGTAGTGGGATTTGTGAAAGGTATCTTTAGAAGGTAGGTTCTTAGTATTGGCCTACGGATATTCTACCCTCCCTATAAGGTGGTTTCGTTAAGGGTATCATGAATAACACTAGAGGGAAAGGCATAAGGGCCTCCCTTAAGCGAAGTCTCTTTACAGACCGAGACTTTTGTCTCTAGGTCATGAAAGGTCTCATCACGAGTTTTTGGTTTAAAGGTCATACAAAGAGTCATAAGTGTCACCCCAAAGTCCTACTTCCTAAGAGGATGTCTCTCGAGAGGTATTCCTTTTGTGGAATTCTACCGACTCTAGGAGAAGTCGTCACATAAACTTGTAGGGTTGATGTAACCCCTTGGCTAATAGACGACCTTTCTTTCTAAGGGTTTTTAAAAATAATATTTTTACAAAATTATAAATCCCACCACAGATATATAAATATTATAAATAATAAAAATAAGCAAGAAAATAAATAAGTAATTAAATAAGAAATAATAAAATCCAAAAGAAATAAGAAAAATCCTAAAAACCCTATAATCGAAAGATAAGGCTTCTAAACCTAGGGTTGAGTCCCCATGAGAGTCGCCAGCTGTTGCAACTGGTTTTAAATTCAGAGTCACCACCCTTAAATTTTTATCCTAAAGGAAGGGAGTATAAAGGAATAACCCTAAAATAAATTCACAGATTCTAGGTTTGGACTCGGTTCTAGACGAGGGGAAGGTGTTAGGCACCCCTCCTCTAGCTTGTTCGCAAGGATACTAGGTTTAGAAGCGCGATTTTAGGAAAAAGGGTTTTTAATATTAATTAGGGGAAAAGGGTTTGAATTTTAGTTAGGGGACTCACCGTGATTTTTGATCCTATGCCTACGTATCTTCTTAATAGGAATCAGAGTCCCATTTTGTAGTTTGTGGTGTTGTTAGTATTTTTTATGGATTGTGAAATATATCTTTGAATTTCCCGTATACGTGGTCTAAGAGTGTGAATATCGGAGTTTGTTAGACCAAGTGCGCAGTTAATTTAAATATATTCGTATTCCTTTTCAAAAATTAAATGTTCGAATTAGTTTAATTTGTGAAAAAAGAGATTTGGTGTTTGATTGAATATTTTTTGTTCGTAAATCGAGGGAGACTGATATAGTCTCCTCATCACGTGGCCAAATATTTGTCACATGTCATTCGCAGATGGGGTGTTTGGTGAGCTGCGCGAGTTTCAATATTTTAATGTAAAATATTATATTAACTTGATTTGAAAAAAGTGTTTGATTTATATTAATTTCTATTAATCAAAGGATAATCTAAAGAAACGTGTTTTTTTTATTGTTTTTGATGACTAGTTAATTAAACTAAATTAAATGAATTAAATTAACACAATTAAAAAACTAAATTAATCAAATAAAGAAAAATTAAAATAATCAAAGCCTAAGGGAGGTGATATCGTAATAGAGACGTGTGACATGGAAAAGGAAGGCCCAAGGCCCATCTTGATCTCTAAAGCCATAAATCACTCTAATTTAAATTAATAATCAAAACTAAAATAGTAGAAATAAAATGTGAAGTAGAAAGGGTCTAGGTCGGTGGATCTCGTATCCTAATAAGTACAGGTGTTCGCGGTGCGGTTTGGGCGGTTTTGAAGCAAAAAATCACTCGAACCGCAAGAGAAAAAAATATGCGGTTCGGTTTGGTTCGGTTGACTTTTAAAAATAAATCCGAATCAAACCAAACCAAACTAATGCAGTTTGGATTGATTCGGTTGGTTCGGTTTTTTATAAAAAAAATTATTAAGTCATACAAACAAATATAGAGGAAAATATAATTTTGTATTTAATTGTTCGTACATTACCATACAAAAATTTATAATTGTCAAAATAAGTTTATAATTTGATACATAAAATTGCGTATTATAATTTTATCTAAATCTAAAGAATGATATAAACAAGATTGCATTCTTAAATAAATATTATACAAAGAATACGATAAAATATATTTTGTGAAAATAGTATTTATAAATGAATAATATTTTATTTTTTTATAATTTGTAAATTAAAATGAATATAATACAAAGTATGATAAAATATACACATAATACATGTTTATTTCTCTAAATAATTAAAGAAATATATATTGGTTAGTAAGATTTTATAACATAATGCAGTTTTGTTTGGTTTAGTTCGGTTTGTAAAATACAAACCGCAAACCGAATCGAACCGTGCGGTTCCGCGAGAAAATAACTCAAACACATCCGAACCAAATGCGGTTTTTTAAGATTTCAATTTGGTTCGGTTCTACGGTTTTCTATTGGGCCGGTTTGGTTTTGAACACCCCTACTAATGAGAAAACAAAACACCAGTTTCTCACTTGTGGTGGTCATTTTAAATATTTGGACTTTCTAACTTTTCTTACTAACATATCCTACTTCAACTTTTGGAAATGGATTTAACTAAATAAATGAAAATTATAATTAATATGTAAGAGAGAGAGAGAGGTTGTGTATTGTAGTCTCTTCTTCTTCCAACGAGTTATACTTTTTCCAATTCTTCTCAACAATAATTCCAATGCAAACAAAAATTAACAACAATATGGAATAACAAATATAAGAATACAATGCGACCTGAGGGCTACAGATATTTCGTCAGCTTACGGTGGTCTAGCCCGTTGAACGCGTTGAAGAATTCACCAGCGGGAGTCGTGGCCGTTCAGAGTAGATCCGCGGGGTTCTCGTCAGAGGGAAGCACAGAGGGTTTGTTCGGTGTGCCTTCGAAACTCGTGGGTCAATTTTTTGACGGCGAGGGCGCAGTACCGTGTCCAGATTCGCATAGGATGAAGGGTGCGGTGAGGATGCTATTGCGGTAGGAGGAAGAGTTTGGTTGGAAGTCTACTTGTAGTAGCTCTCCGGCGGTGAGTGGTTGTGGTGCTGCAGCTCCTGTTCTTCTCTTTTATGTAATTCGTCCGTTCATAATTTATTTCTTTTCCTTCCTCCTTTTGTAATGATTTTTCTTTACTGTCATAATGCCCTGTAACAGCTTCCACTGTATTCTTCTTTTCTTTGTGTACTCTCCTTTCGTTGTTGTTCGTTCCTCCTCCCTTCTGTTTCTGTAGTTTTTCTTTTTATAGCATTCTTAGGTTTTGCATATTAGGAAAAAAAATTATTTGTCTGTAACTTTTAATATACAATTCAATTTGTTTCTGTTTTTGAGTATAGAAAACTTTAATTTGTTTTCCGTTTGATTTTCGTTACTTTTTGTTGATTGAGATTCTATGTAACTTGTGAGAACTTTGATTTGGATTTTGGCACACTTTGTTTAGGAAAGATTTAAAACTTTGAGCAAGTTTGTATCTTTAGAATGATTTTGTGCAATTTGCAATTGTAACCATTTTGTTATAATTTGATTTGGAAGAAAATTATGAAGATTTGATCTTAATGTTTTCTTTGGAAAGGTTTGGAATCTGTTTTGAAATTAAAAAAAAAAACTCTTTTTAGTTATTTCGTACACGTTCTAGAAGTTGTGGACAACTTACCTTTTGAAATAAGTTTCTTTTTTAGGTTAAAAAGTAGTGATACAAAATAAAATGATAATATTAATAAAAATCCTAATTATCTAAATGAAAACGATAATAACTAAAATTTAATTAGGAAGATAATAATCTATTATCTATTATCAATCTATTAAAAGTAAAGTATCTAAAAATTCCAAGTCTAACCTTTTGATTAGATGTTATAACTTTTCTTATTCCAAAGGTATAATAGACTAATCAACACTATGCTGTTATCATATTCATTTGGCATTTAATTTTGCTGACACGTCAATCTATCATAATTTTACACTATTTTTTATTTATTTGATTTATTAATTTATTTTATTTATATTTGAATTTTATTTATATTTGAATTCCAATTCCAATGTTTCATTCACGGTTAATTTATTTATATTTGAATTGAGTTAATGAGTAAGGAATTGGAATGACCAAATTAGATCTATTATAATTAAATGGAATATATTTATATTTGAATTGAGTTAATGAGTAAGGAATTGGAATGACCAAATTAGATCTATTATAATTAAATGGAATATTATTCATTGCATGATTTAAAAATACCCACTATTTATCATTACACTACAAGATTAAATGTATATTATTGGAATTAGAATGAATTATTTTGATATTCCAATATATCACAACTTCCCATGCATTATAAACCCTATATATATATATAGTCATTCTAAACCTTACTCTTTCACTCCTCAATCTTCTTCATTCTCCATTTTTTTATTTTTAATTGCTATAATTTTAGAAACAAATATTTTTATACAATATTAAAAACAAATATTACAATTTTTTAATCAAATATTGGAGTACCATTTAATTGGATACTTTACCAATATATCTTTTGAATGGAGACATTATTATCATTTATTTTTATTATACTTATATGAAAATTATTTTGAATGATGACATAAATATATTTAATTTTTATATATGATTTGATTCCATAAAATATTATGATCAATAAAATTTGAATTCTCTTTTAATATTATAGGTTTGATACTGTTTCATATTGTAAGAATATTATATACATTAGAATATATAAATATATGAAAAAAATTAAATCAAAACTTTACAAATATATCTTTTGAATGGAGGTATTAATATTAGTTATTTTTATTATATATAGAAAATATTTTGAATGGTCACATTAATACATTTTATTTTTATGCATGATTTGATTTCAAAAATTTATGATCAATAAATTTTGAATAAAATTATAATTTAACCAATAAAATTTTCTACCGACTTCTAAATATATTTGTGTATATTTTTTGAAAGGTTACATTTATATTCTTGAAAAAAATAACGTAGTTTAAAGGATGTATTGTTAACTATAAATATATTGTTAATAAAATTAACAAAAAAAGTATATTATAAATATATAAAAGATAAAGTAAATAAGAACTCTAATGTTTATCTTAAATATTTAATTTATCATTCTATAAATGTAAGAATAAATATTATTTTGTAATTATTTAGATCCTTATTTGATCTAAAATAAATTATTTCAATTTCTATAAAAAGGTTAATAAAACAAAACAAAATCAATTGAGATTTGATAATTTTTTTAAGTTTATGAAATAACTAAAATATATCATAATCTTTTCAAATTAACTTTATAATTGTAATTATGATAAAAAAATATTAAATGATAATCATGAAAATTTAATGATAAATGATAATCATAAAAATTTATGATAAAATAAAAAATTATTGATACAATCATTTTAATATATTAAATAATTTATAATTAATTTTATAAAGGTGAATAAATTACAAATAATTTTATAAATGTAATAAATTAAACTATTTATAAAATTATTTATATCAATAATAGTAAATTACATATATTTTAATAATGGACACGAATTCAACATGCTTATAAACCGGAAAAAAGTTACAATAATTTTATAAACAGGAATAAGTTAATATCATTTTATATAAATTAATAGTATAATATAATGTATTAAATATTTATATAACACTTTATTAAATAAATTTATTTCATGAAATTAATTTTATATAATATCATTAATATTTAATTATTGAAAATTCGTAATAAACTGAAAAATATTTATTACAAATTGAATATAATAAAACATAAGAAATAAATACATAATTTTGAAATGTTATATATGATTCATTGTAATAATAAATGTTAAATTATTATTTAATATTATAATAAATTTTCCGATATTCTTAGATTTAATTTATTCTTTTTCCCGTATATAATAATAATATTATATTATTATTTAATATTATAATTTTTGATTGACAATAATAAATTCATTTTAATTAGTCTATCTATTATCTATTATCTATTATCTATTATCAATCTATTAAAAGTAAAGTACCATTAACTTACCATAATACCCTAATTAGTAAATTTCAATTTAGTCTTAATCTAAGAGTATATTTGTAACTTTCTGAAATACTTGCACCATATTGATTTGACAATAAATATGGCTGATGTGTCACACAATGGTTTTTTCTGCCACTTTTTACTTTTTTTAATTATTTCTAACTAACAACAATTATGCCATTTTGTTTATATTTACACGTTATAATCACACCTAATTATGTGCTACATACCACTTCCCAAAACCCTCATCCAAACCAAAGGTCATTCAATTTGAAATTTAAATTAAAACACTCATATTATAGCTGCTACGTACACTGAGTTTTGAAATTCTAATTATTCCACTAAACCCTAATCACGTTTTTTGTTGCAAGATTTAAATTGGCAGCACAAGATGAACAACCATCATAAATGTTGAGTTCTTGAAACGGTAAATCTATACAACCAAAGAAATCGTTTTTCCCAAGATGCAACAAATAACTCATTCACCCAACTCTATTAAAACACAAATCAGAAAACCTAATTTCATCTTCTTCCTGCGCCGCTCCATCTCTTTTCATTCTTCTCTCTTTGTTGCTACCAATTTCGTTTCGTTGTAATCTCAACCATCTAATATTCTCATCCTAACCTGTTAATTTATTTGTTTCAGACGTTCAAGCGTAAGAATGGTGGTCGCAACCAAGACCTCTGAATCTCAACAACATCAATAACCAACAACACCCGTTATAGATCTATAAAAGAATTTCCTTCAAATGCAATTTTTAACGTTAATTTGATTCATACATATGTAAGTGACGAAGGTGAGTGATTGAAACATGTGATTGAAAGTTGAAACTGAAATGTAGTTTGAAATATCATATTTTATGTTGTATTCTTTTCGTTTTCAGGGTTGTCTTACTATTTCTCCTTTTCCAAACAAAAAAAGCTTAACTTGACACCTAAAATGGGATATCTTTATCTTTAGGTTTGAGAGTTGCAGAAGGGGATTTTTGAGCTTGCATGTGACGAACAACACAACCATGATATTGTTTATTTTTTGCTGTTAGGTATGTTTTTTTTATTCAGATTTTATTTCTCAATTTTTTTAATTTTTTAAATTAAAATATGAGGTTGAGTTTTGGCTTTTTTTATTTGTTTAGTCTTGGTGAATACAAAGCTCACACATATATATTTACGATTGATTCTCCAAATAGATAGAAGCTTATTTATTTTGCTTCCTCTTTCAATTTATTATTAATCTATTTAAATTTCAATTTCTCCCATCACATGTTTGATAAAAGAAGGCAATATATTCTCATCAATTTTGTTGTTTATTTTGCTTACTATTATATTTATTTGTATCTAATTGAGATTTTTGTATTTATTTTCTTGATTTAATCGGTTCTTCTTTTGGAATATGTATGGATATGGAGGCTGATAATTGATTTCACACTTGAATCAGTAGGGGACCAATCAACAAATTGAATAACGGATCATTTCACAGTTTAATTTTTATACATTGATACGTAAAATGAAATTATGCTGATTGCAATTTGATTGTCATGTGAAAACAGGTTTAATATAGTCACAATCTGTCTTAACAAGAAATTATCAAACTTTACCTCATGGTCGATTCAAGCATTTGTTTTCGAGAATCAGAGAATTACCCGCTCAATTTTTATTAGAGAAAGCTTGCTACTTTGCTAAGATGAAGAATATTGTTGCTTTTGAGGTTATCTTTGTTTTTCTTGCCTATGAGTTATTCTTATTTCCTAACATCGACAAATTTGTGGATGTCAACGCCATCAGAATCTTTTTTATTGGGAATCCAATTCCTACATTATTAGGAGATACTTATTATTCCATTCATCTTCGGAATTTTTATCATGGAGGGGTGATCATTTGTTGTAGGCCTTTGTTATATCAATGGTTTATTTCTCACTTACCTCATTTTGATGCTTTCTGG